GTCTCAAACATAAATTTGTGTAAATTATTTATATTTATATTTCTCGATTGTTTTATATGGTTTTGTGCGAGGGCAGTATTACTATTAATAAAAATGCCGCGTCCTAGAAGATCTAATCTTTCCCGGCGGACCTATAATGCAATTAGGAAACGGAATATCGCGAGTCAATTATTTGACGAAGAGCGAGAAATCGCCCGAGAAGAGCGCCGCGTTAGTACCCAGCAAAGAAGGGCCTTAATTCGTGCTTCTCAAAGAGAGGCAGCCCGTGAAACGGCAATAAGAAATGGTTCAAGGATTGATTTGAATCGAGCAGCGTTTCGATATGATTGCACCATTGACTACAGCTTGAATCGTTTACTTTGCATTGGTGCAATGGACGTTGTTTGCCAGCATTGTGGCGCATTGAAGTTTGCTGGTGAAACGCCCGGTTTGTGCTGCCTTAGTGGTAAAGTGACATTGCCATTAGTGGTCCCGCCACCAGAGCCATTGCGTTCCCTGCTTTATGGCGAAACACTAGAATCACGACATTTTCTAGCGAACACTCAAAAATACAATGTCTGTTTCCAAATGACATTTGGGGTGGAAATTATTGGAGACGGATATAATCTGACATTTAAGGTAATTTACGTTAAAAATTTTGTTTTCTATGATTGTAAAAAAAAGAAACAAAATATTGGAATAATGTAGTTTGTTAGATTTCTGAAAAAAGTGTTTGTAAATCGAACTATAACTATGGCTTTGAATTTAAAGATTCAAGGCCAGATTTGCCATCGCAAATAAAAATAAAGATGTGGATGACCTTAATTTTATAATTCAAGATAAAATCGTTGGTACTCTGTATTCATTCAAATCTATCGACTGTGTAACGAATGAAGCCACTGTTATCCAACTGGATAGGGCAATGCAACGTTTGCTGGGCCAGCTAGTATATTAAAAAAAATTAAAATTGTATAAATTATATATGTACGTAATTTGAATGCAATGATGCAATGATCATAGCAATAGCTATCGATGATTTTCAAATTTTAATGGGATCATGCCGTGTTTTTTGTTGCGCACTAGACTTGGGCTGTGAATGAGTCTTCTGCAATCGATATCGCCCGACTGCAAAGTTCTTACTTGTTTTTTAATAATTAATGCACAGCTCTTTTGACTTTTATTGGTCATTAATAACATTTGCCATCGTTTTTGTGTACCGTCGCACCATTTCAGCAAGAATCGCGCACCAAATGTCCTTGTTCCTATCCCATAGCTCTATCATTACACTTGGAGCCACCCATAATTAGCAGGCTGCAATTTCAAATGACTCCATATATTTTCAGTGATATTCATGTCTGAAGAATATTCAGGACACTTCAGGGACTTGATTCCTTGCCAAACTATCCACTTTTTGAGCAAATTAGACGTGTTCTTTGAGTCATTGTTATGCATTTTTCAGTAGTTGAACGAATACACTTAACTATGATGGTGTTTAGTTTTGTATTGATCTTTATTCTTCTGAGCCTGGGTTTATATACCCAGACTCATGCATAATTTCAACCCTTAAATCTAGTGCGTCTATTGCTGAGTGTGTAAGGCTCAGCATTGGTCTATTACATGTTCTTATCTTATCGCTGAGGTTGTAAGGCTCCGCGTGGGTCTATTAGCTATTCTTATCCTATCGCTGAGGTTGTAAGGCTCAGCGTTCGTCTCTAACATATCTGACTCTGGGGTTGCAAGGGTTGGTGTCCATTTGTCGATTTATAGAGTCTACATGTGACCCTTATCTTTTCCCAGCGCACTACCTGCTAGTCATAGAGTGCGTCGGAGGCATGCATACGATCTTCGTATATCCAAAGTGTGTAACGTCCGGAACTACTATCTGTGGATTTCTTAACAATATACAGGACAAATACAAATTTAATAATTGTTAGTATTCTTGACGAATAGATCAAGCTTGCAATCCTTATGTTCGTGCCTGAACATTCTGCAGGGCCCAGAGAATGTGACATCCAGATAAACCGAGTATGCCACCATCACCTTGGTCTTTTGCTCTGGTGGCGGCTCCCATGCCAAGTGAAGTCTTCATATTCCGTGAACATTTGTAGATGCTTTCTGAATTTGTTTTCCATCTGCAGTAATCGTGTCATAGCGTGCTTGCGTGATTTTCCTGACTCGAAGTCTTTTTTAAATGGTATAGAGACTACTAGCCGGCCTCCGTCATCCCAATTATTGTTCTCTTTTGAATCGCTTGAGTTATTTTCAAGCTTCCAGAAGCGCTCGAGGTTATCTAGGCATATCGTCGTTGTTGCGCTGATCACCTTGTTGTTTACTGTTCTAGCTATGTTCCCGGAAACAATCCATCCAAGCTCGGTTTTTTGGCCCAGTATTCCGTTGACTTTTTTAACTTTTCCCAACATTATTGAGTGGAGTAAATCAACGCCAATCACAACATCGATTCTGCTGGTTTCATTGAAATGTGGGTCTGCCAGCTTGCAGCCCATCCAGTCCTTATTGATGTCCATTTCAATTTTCTTGCTCGGTAGAGCTCTTTGCAATTTTGGCATAACAAGTGCCTCCGTTCTGGAGACGAATTTGCTTGTCATCCTTGGTTTGATTGTCAAGCAAACGCTGTTTTTTAGAACTTCAACATTTTGAGAAATTCCCATTACTCCCACTTTCCGTTTGATTCGGCGCAGTTGTAGTCGTTGCGCGGCCTCTTCAGATATCAATGTCTTTTGCGAGCCTCCATCGATGAGGGCCCTTAGCTGCTCGTATTTTCCGGACTTATTTTTAATCCGAATAAGCGCAGTTGCCAACAACGTATCTTGTCCGTTGCTTTCTTTGAGACAATTGCTGCTGAAGGTCTCGTTTTCGTTCGCAGCCTCGTGAAGCAGATTGTTGTGTGATTTTGTAAAATACTTGCATGACCAATCCTTTTTTTCATGCTATGGGAACCTAGGCATTTAAAACATAGAGCACTTTTAGTTACAAACTCCTTGCGTTTTTTAACTGGCTCTGCTTTAAATTTTGAACACCTGGTAATTTCGTGATTATCCAGGTTGCAATAACGGCATCTTTTGTAGCTCGTTCTCTTTGCTTCAATAAGCGTCTGGACGGTCCTTTTCTGTACTGCGTCTATTGAATTGTATAGCTGATCAATAAACTCGAGTACATTTTTCAAGGATTGAATTTCTCTGGCCCTCTTTACATGTTGCTGTAGGACTTCCGTCGAGAATCTTCGTAGCAAAATCTGAGCGAGTAGTACATCAGCATCATTACCAATTTGGCCTACTTCTTTGGTGATGTGAATACTCTCATTTGCTGTGTCCAAGAATTGGCGGATCCTGCCTTCATCATCGTTTTCCAGCAGTTCCATGCTCACTAGCTGGTTAACGGCGTTTGCAAATATCTTGCGCTTATTTTCATAGCGCTTGCATATAAGTTCCCACGCCGAATAGCTAACAGATGATCCACTTAACAAATGGCTCACTACCATTTGGGCATCTCCTTTGAGGCATGATTTCAGGTAGTTCAGCTTCCTTGTGTCGCTAATATCCTTCCTTTTGTGAATCATGTCGGAAAACAAATTGAAGAACGTTGGCCACTCTTTGGGACTTGCATTAAATTGAGGAAGATCCGTTTTCGGTAGCTCTGGAACGTCTTCCTTTCTGATATGCAAGTCGTGTAATTTTCTGTCAAGTCTAGATAACAGTTCATCGACGTTGCATTCCAGTTCTTCTATTTCGTCGCTGCAGGAGGAATGCTCTCCATATCTTGCCTCTAAATCTGCTAGCGCTGACTGGACTTTTTTCCATCGGAAGGATAATCTGCCTTTATAGGCAAGAATTTCTTCGCTGTTGTTGCTCTCCAGGATAGCAGTTACTTCTGCCATTTCTTTCCTTATTTTTTGAGCTTTTTTGTCCACAAGTTCTACCAGATAATCCATTGAGGTTGAACCACTTCTTGAAAACAGTACTTCCTATTGAGTTTTCTGTTTCCTGGATACCTCAGTTTGCATGTGCCAATTCTTGCTAGTGTATGGTTTGTTGGTATCTATACCAGGGTCGGCAGCTTCGACCTTCATCAGAAGCTCTTTGTAGATCCTGACTTTTCCCATCAATTCATCGTATATATTCTGTATATATAGCATTTCAATAATCTTTCCTGACATCTTGTTGCGGCTGTTGTAGTTTTTGTATATTTGTTGTCGATTTTCTCTTTGGATTAACCCGTTGGAGGTGTTTTTGTTTTGATCGCCTTGTTGATCTTGCTGTGCCTCTACTCACAGCGTGAATTGGTAAGCCAAAGAAGAAGTTACAGTCAACAGACTGGACTGTGGGATCTCTATGCTAATACCAGAATTGTCCATATGACTTGAAACTGTTAATATGGTCGGATGAAAGAATAAACAACCATTTTGAGTCATATGGATAATCGCGGCATTAGCATAGAGATCCCACAGTCCAGGGTTGAACTCTAATTAGCTTATGATAATTATCATACTAGCATTATTATCATACTAATAATGAACAAAATAATTAAGTATATTCTTGATCAGCACGACGAGCTGAATCGATATAGCCCTGTCCGTCTCAGAAGTTATAAGAGCTAGACCGCTGAAAAATTGATTTTGTTTTTTCAGCCTAATTTGAACACTTAGACCTAGAGACTTCAGATTTACTGTGTATATACATTTGATGAATATTGAATATTTTGTAATTTACAGATTTTTGATACCACGCCCCCTTCGCAGCATTTCAAGTAGTAGAGACTTGTGTTTCATAAAGATAGTCTATCTACAAAAGAAACTATTCAACAATTAAATTCTCATAATATTGCCACAAAAAACTTTAATTTGAAATTTTATAAATATAGATACTAGCATGCATGCAAATAAACTACGGCTCTAATTAAAATGATTTTAAGTGCTTTATCCTTTTCTGACATCTATGTATTTTATAGTCGAATTAAAATCTATTTTATATATTTAATTACAAACATGTTTTTTTTCTTTATAGATCCAAAGAAATTTATGAAATTATTTATAACCGTCTAAATAGCGACTTATTAATGTGGGAGCCACACTCTTCAATAATAAATCATGAAAAACCCGTTAGCAGCTTTGAACTATCTGTTAAGCAGGGTGCAATAGTAGTCTACACCAATGCTCAGGAAGTTGAAGCGATAAGACATGTATCTCAACGCGGAAAACTCCAGGTTAAATTCAAAGATTTTCGGCTATTTTCGGCAGCTGCTCTTAACAATGAAAAAAATATAAGCTATTTTTGTATTCAAATTAAAGAAATTGACGTTCATCACTCTGGTAAGTTTATATACAAATTTAACTAAAACAATTAAGAAAGCTCTAGTCGAGACTGCTCGACTACGAGATCCCCTATTCTTCGAGAAATAGCTGTTTCAATCATTTTTCGCGTCTTTCTGCTTACACAAGACACACACACACACGCACACACACACACGCGCGCACACATAAACACGCATTGGCTGCAGTGTTGGCTTACTATGGGAAGTTACTTGTTCAATAACTTTTTTTGTGGACATACGATCTTCATGAAACTCAGATCATAATTATAACAATAATATGTTTGGACCTATCAAAGCACAAGTCTCTAGTATGTGAAATACGCCTTTTTTTGTGGGTGAGGGGGTGTTGGTGAGGAGGTTTCGGTAAAACCGAAATTGTATAAAATACATATTAGTCTACATTTTAAATTTGGAGACTGTAGCTCCAAAGATGTAGGAGATATAATTTTAGAACTGATTTTCGAAAAAGTTTTTATCGATAAAAAATATTGGGATGATTTATCGATTTTTAGTGATAAGCTCGATATCCGCGCTGTATATACGGGCATTAAAAAAATTGAAGTCTCTAGCTCTAATGTCTTCTGAAATCGACGCGCTCAAACATACGAACATACGGACGGACAGACGGACAAGGCCAAATCAACTCAGCTCGTCGCCCTGATCAAGAATATATATGCTTTGTGGGGTCTGCAACGCCGTATACACTTCAACAAAACCATTATAGCCTGATTTCCCATTTTCAATGGGTTCAGGGTATAAAAAGAAAAACTGACTGACTGGGGACATTTTATAGGCTTGGCTTCGAGGTTTTATTGATTGGTCGAAAGTGAAATGAGTATATTGGTTTTGTACAATGTCCGTCCGTCTTTTGAAGCGTAAGCTTCCAAAATTTAATTATTAATTTTCATACCATTGAAAATGGGAAATCAACATAGCTGCAAATAACTGTTGACATTTTTTCGTTGTCTGAAAATAAATGTCTTTCACGCTCGCGCTCTGAGCGAGACAGTTATTTCTGTTTTCGTTTCGCTCAAGTCAAACACTGATCGTTTGCTTGAGTTAAATGAAGCAAACTGTCTTTTGCGTATGTATGGATAATCACGCGCGATTTTTTCGTTCTTTATGTATGTATGTATTTATGAATTTAGACGGAAACCGATTCAAAACAAAACAAAAGGAGCCGCTAAGAGCGAGATCGTATCTGCACAATCTTTTCGGCTATGTTACGAAACAGAGCATATCAAAAACAAGTAAGAACATTGCAGTCGGGCGATACCGATTCCAGAATAATCATTCACAGGCCAAACGCTGTCAACCAGAGTATATAGTGCACTTTTCAAGTCTAGTGCGCAACAAAAAACAGGGCATGATCCTATTAAAATTGGAAAATCATCGATAGCTACTGATATTATCATTGAATCATTGCAGCTAGAATCTTCAAATTACATGCATATATTATTTATACAATTTTGATTTTTATTATATATTTATATCCATATATTGGATATCGGCTTCAAGCTAGCAGCAGATCAGCGCGATATTCCTATACATGTCCACACACTAATCGAGTATTCTAAGCGTACAGGCAAAAGTGCGCCTTTTCTCACATTCTTAGAATTTCGACTGATTTCTGGATTTTCTAGTCGCTACATTAGTTTTTATACTCATTCACTAGAGTGAAATGAGTATATTGGTTTTGTGCAATGTCCGTCTTGCTGTCCGTCCGTCCGTATGAACGCAATCTATTTCGGCGCTATTGAAGCTAGAGACTTGAAATATAAAACACATACTCATGTATATCTCCGATTCATAAAGTGTTAAAAAAATGCATTTTCCGATATACCAGAAAGTATGTTAGTTGAAGAGCTAGAAAGAAATTTGGTATGTAGGTCCGCGTCGACCACCCAAGATCACGAGCCATGGCGGATATACCTCCGCCCATTGGGGACGTGGAAAAACGGATAAAACTGTATCTCCTAAAGTAATAAGTCTAGAATGCTGAAATTTTGCACGTGACTTGATGTTTTAAATCTATAAAAATTGGTGAAATAAAAACTTTGCATTTACGTTCGTTCTAAGAACTGGCCAAAAATGAGGAGTCTACGGTCACTAGGGGCGTGACAATCGGCATTTATAGTGCCCGAATTGCGACACTTTTGTATATGCGTGACCCATCTAATTATGTATTTGTACATATAAATAAGCTTAATAGATATTCATCGAAGAGGTTTCGAACCGCCCCCTAACATAACTTGCGTCGCCCTTAGCACCCGCGCCACTGCTTTGCTTGACCAGCAAGTTGCTAAAATAGAATAGTTTTATAAGAGAGCGTCATCAAACAAAACTACAGTAACGGCTAGCAAATCCAGAAATCAATCGAAATTCTAAGAATGTGAGAAAAGGCGCGCTTCTGTCTGTACGCATAGAATGAGCTGAGGCCGGTATCAAATATATGGATATAAATATATAATAAAAATCAAAATTGTATAAATGATACATATATGTAATTTGACGAGCTTAGCTGCAATGATGCAATGATGATAGCAATAGCTATCGATGATTTTCCATTTTCAATGGGTTCATGCCCTGTTTTTTGTTGCGCACTAGACTTGAAAATTGCACTATATACTCTGGTTGCTAGCGTTTGGGCTGTGGATGAGTATTCTGCAATCGGTATCGCCCGACTGCAACGTTCTTACTTGTTTTTCTTTGGGTGGACGATGTCACTGAGAGTGCTAAGAAATCTTTCAATCTCTTCATCTTTTGCTGTTTTTGTTGCATTATTCTTGAACCAATCCAGAATCAGTTTGCGAACACGCCGACTCTTGCCGCACTCGTCAGAATCGTACTGCAATTCGTTTTCATTTGAAAAATTTCACGCAAGGGCCAAGAAACTTAATATCTCTTGTGAAAACATATTTTGTATACCCTGAACCCATTGAAAATGGGAAATCAGGGTATAATGGTTTTGTGAAAAAGTATGTAACGGGCAGAAGGAGGCGTGGCAGACCCCATAAAGTATATGTATTCTGTCGTCGATTTGGCCCTGTCCGTCCGTCCGTCTCTCCGTCTGTCAATTTGTTTGAAAGCGTCGATTTCTGAAGATATAAGGGCTAGAGCCCTCAATTTTTTTAAATGTCCGTATATGCCACGCGGAGATCAAGTTTTGCTTTATAACATATTAAGGTCTGTAGCGTCAATAGTGTCAAAATATAGCAGAATTTAAAAAATTACTATATCTTCAGGTCCGATTTGCCACGCCCCTAATAAACGTAAAAATATAATTTTGCCATATAATTCAGCCATAGCGTGATCTTGGGTGGTCGACGCGGACCTACATACCAGATTTTAGCTTTCTAGTTTTTCAACTAACATACTGTCTGGTATATCGGAAATGCATTTTCCGATTTGCCACTCCCCTAGTGGGCGGATCGGGAAAATTTTAACACTTTATAAATCGGAGATATACACGAGTATGTGTTCCAGATTTCAAGTCTCTAGCTTCAATAGCGCCGAAATAGATTGCGTTCATACGGACAGACGGACGGACGGACAGACGGACGGATAGCAAGACGGACATTGCACAAAACCAATATACTCATTTCACTTTCGTGACTGAGTATAACAAGTAAGAATACTCTAGTCGAGAGTGCTCGTAAATTAAAAAAAAAAAACAAGTAGGAAGACTCTAGTCGAGACTGCTCGACTATGAGATACCCTGAACCCTCTAATCTGATATTCTAATCACTCTGCACTTCTTTTCGGCACACATACATACACACGCACGTATTAGAACGCGCTCTGCTAACTGCGCAGTAAGCAGCGACTGCGCTTGGGCTGCGCTGTAGTGTGGGCAACATTATAAGAATTTATTTGTTGAATAATTTAATTTCTAGACGTACAATCTTAATGAAACTTTTAGAACAAACTCATAAGGTTCAAATGTATGTACATTCCAAAGTACAAGTCTCTAGTATTTGAAATACGCTTTTTACAAAGGTGTGGGTGAGGGGATGTAAATAGGAGTGGGGGGTAAATTTTAACAAAAATCGAAACTGTATTTAATATATATGTCTACATTTAAATTTTCGAAGCTCTAGCTCTAAAGGTGTAGGAGATATAATTAAATAACTAGCTTTCGATAAGGTCTTTAATCGATAATAAAATATCGAGAGTTGTTATCGATATTTAAAGAAAAACTTGATATGCGCGTGATATACACGGACCTAGGAAAAAAATTTCAAATCTCTAGCTCTTATATCTTCTGAGATCGACGCGTTCATACATATGAACGGACGGACAGACAGACGGACAGGGCTAAATCGACTTTGCTCGTCGCCCGGATCAAGAATATATATACTTTGTGGGGTCTGCCACGTCTCCTTCTGCCTGTTACATACTTTTAACAAAACCATTATACCCTGATTTCCCATTTTCAATGGGTTCAGGGAATAAAAATCGGAATTGTATAAAATGCATATAAGTTTTTATATAAAATTTGGAGACTCTAGCTTTAAACACTAAACACAGAACACATAGACCGGACAAGTAGTGTAAAGCGTTTTGCACACATTTTTTCGAGCATTAGTTCCCAGACCACTTCGTATTTGCTCGGCTCCTCACTTTTAGGGTCGGGCTACGAAAATATGGGAACACAAAATCATTTCGCTTCATGCGCTCGGCCGAGATGATCGACTGTTGAACAAAAGATCCCTCTGTGCTCAATGTTTCCCTTGCTCTCTCTCTCTCTCTCTCTCTCTCTCGAATGTGTATATGTATGTATGCATGTGAGCACAAGCAGTAGCTCACGAAAATTGAAATTTCGTCGCAGCAAGAATCCATGTCTTCCCTTCTGAGTGAAGAGTATTCCGAACTCTTCAAGCCGTTTGCCATGCGCTTTCGTTATTATTTGTGGGAAGGGTATGAAAGCCTTGGTGCGCATAATGAAAATGTTTTCATGACGAGCATGCACACACACACTTACAGTATGCTGCATGTACTATGAACATTTGTATGCCGAAGCTCTTGCTGCCTGTAGCAATTTTAAATCCCAGCATTTGCATTTGGTCGATCTTGTGAAGTGCTCACACACAAATGTATGTATGTATGTATGTATATACATTTGATTGTGTGTACGCATGGGATGCGATGCTCCCAATTATGGGATATCACTTGTAGAAGCATGTGTATGCTGTGTGCCTTTACATGTGCGTGTGTGTATGTGTTTGTTTGTATGCATGGGACATGAACATTGGCGTGTGCCTCCCTCAACTTAGAATGGAGTGAACGATTTTGGGTTTTAATTGAAGGGTGCGCTTATAGTTAAGTAGAATTAACAAGTAAGAAGACTCTAGTCGAGACTGCTCGACTAGGAGATATCCTGAACCCTCTAATATGATATTCCAATCACTCTGCTGTTCGTTTTGGCACACATACATACAAACGAACGTATTAGAACGCGATCTGCTAACTGCGCAGTAAGCAGCGACTGCGCTTGGGCTGCGCTGCAGTGTGGCCAACATTATAAGAATTTATTTGTTGAATAATTTAATTTCTTGACGTACAATCTTAATGAAACTTTCAGGGCGGTGAAAATGTATGTACATTCCAAAGCACAAGTCTCTAGTACTTGAAATACGCTTTTTACAAAGGTGTGGGTGAGGGGTGGATATAAGGTAAGATGGAGGGTAAATTACAAGAAATTACAGAAAATCGAAATTATGTAAAATACATATAAGTCTACATTTAAAATTTGCAAGCTCTAGCTCTAAAGGTGTGGGAGATATAATTAAATAACTAGCTTTCGATAAGGTTTTTAATCGATAATAAAATATCGGGAGTAGTTATCGATATATAAAGAAAAACTTGATATGCGCGTGATATAAACGGACCTAGGAAAAAAATTTCAAATCTCTAGCTCTTATATCTTCTGAGATCGACGCGTTCATACATACGGACGGACGGACGGACGGACGGACAGACAGACGGACAGGGCCAAATCAACTCAGCTCGTCACCCTGATCAAGAATATATATGCTTTGTGGGGTCTGCCACGCCTCCTTCTGCCTGTTACATACTTTTAACAAAACCATTATACCCTGATTTCCCATTTTCAAGGGGTTCAGGGTATAATAAAAGGCGTATTTCAAATACTAGGGACTTGTCCTTTGGCAAATACATGCATATCCATGTTGTAATCATAATCTGAATGTTTAATGAAGAAAGTACATCCACAAGAATAGTTACTGAGCACGTAAGTTCCCATAGTAAGCCACCACTGCAGTCAATGCGTGTTTATGCGTGCGTGCGTATCTCTGTGTGTGTGCGCGTGTGTGTCTTGTGTACGCAGAAAGACGCGAAAAATGATTGAAACATCTATAGCTCGAAGGTTTCAGGGGAGCTCGTATTCGGGCAGTCTCGACTAGAGCTTTCTTACTTGTTTTATTTCGCTTCAAAGCAAAAAAATCTGTGTGTAAAAACTTTCTTGCCAAACTTTATGTATTTTTATAACATTCGGCATCAACTTCTTTCATCATAAATTTCTGTTATTTTTTTATTTATAGGACAAGTTTTTCAAGAAGTGAATGCTGCATGGACCGATGAAATCGACAACAACTTAACGCGAATAATTTGCAATATTTCCGAAGAAAAGAGAGTAACAAATAACCGTCACGAAATTATCTCAGTTGTGGCTGAAATTAAAAAGAAACCAGAAAAACGTTTAAAGGTAATGTACATTAAATATATATGCATTTTGACCGTTCACGGTAGAATTTTTATACTCATTCACGAAAGTAAATTAGTATATTGGTTTTGTGCAATGTTCATCTTGATGTCCGTCCGTCTGTCCGTATAAACGCATTCTATTTCGGCGCTATTGAAGCTAGAGACTTGAAATTTGGAACACATACTCATGTATATCTCCGATTTTTAAAGTGTTAAAATTTTCCTGATCCACCCACTAGGGGCGTGGCAAATCGGAAAATCCATTTTCCGATATACAAGAAATCATATTAATTGAAGAGCTAGAAAGCTGAAATTCGGAATGTGATCCGCATCGGCCACCCAAGATTACGAGCTATGGCGGATATATCTACGCCCATTAGGGCGTGGCAAATCGGATAAAACTGTATCTTTTAAAGTAATAAGTCTAGAATGCTTAAGTTTTGCATGTGAGCTGATCTTTTAATTCTTTAAAAATGGGTGAAATAATTTTATATCTATGTCTACTAGGAGCGTGGCAAATCGGACCTGAAGATATAGTGATTTTTCGAATTCCCCTTTTAGGCACTATTGATTCTAGACCTGAAATTTTGTATATATACGCGGGTTGACCACCCAATTCCAACGAGCTATGGTAGATATATGTCCGCCCATAGGCAAAATTTTATATCTCTTATAGCTCAAATTTGGATAGTTGAGTACTGGTAGCCTCCTCTATCTATGCCCTAAAAATAATTTTTACGCCTCTTTAGGGGCGAGGCATATCGAAAAATACCCTATAATTCTCACAGTTTTTGAGGGTAAGCATTCAAGCCTTGCAGTTAGGGTACCGTTATCACGTTCTAAGAACTGACCAAAAATGAGGTGTCAACGCCTAGTATGGGCGTGGAAAATCGGGGAAAAACACATTTTCTACAGTATTAGAGCTATACTTAGCCGCTAAATTGCTGATGGCATGTGCTGATGGGATGTGAATGAGTCGGTAACGACACTCATCCCAATTAATCGATCAAAATAGAATGTATAATGGTTTTGCTTAAGAGTTAACCATACAACACATATATTAGACATCTGAGCAAATTTTGTCCACCACTGGAAATCTCAGAGGTACCAAAAAACTTTGTGTTTTCTCGGTTCAGTATTTTTTGGCTCGGGTAATGACTCTTTGGTACTCTTATGGAACTGAATCTTATTATACCCTGAACCCATTTTAAGTGCAAAATTAGATATAATGGTTTTGTCAAAAGTTTGTAATAAGCAGAAAGAGGCGTGGCAGACCCTACAAAGTATATATCGGAGATGGCTCTAAATTTTTTACCCTGAACCCATTGAAAAGGGGAAATCAGGGTAAAATGGTTTTCTGAAAAAGTATGTAACGGACAGAAGGAATCATCGCAGACCCCATAAAGTATATATATTCTTGATCAGCACGACGTCTGTCCGTCCGTCAGTATGATTGCGTCGATCTCAGAAGATACAAGAGCTAGAGAGCTGAAATTTGGCATGCATACCCGTGTGTACTATACGCAGTATAATTTGGTTTTTTCAGCCTAATTTGAACACTTTTAAACCTGGAGACTTCAGATTTACTGTGTGTATACAGATGATAGATACGAAGATTTTGTAATTTACAGATTTTGGATACCACGCCCCATTCGCTCCCAATTTGTAAAAAACGCATTTCAAGTACTAGAGACATATGCTTTGGAATCAGTGCTGTCATAATTTTTCGAGCAAATAGAGCCAGATTGGCAAAAAAAAAGAGGCTAAAAGAAGCTAAATTCAAGTAAAAATACGCCAAAATAAAAGCTGGGTTTAAAAAACACTATTTTCTTAATTAAATTAATTTATGATCATTCATTTGTTTTTAATTGTTTGATTCCTTCAACTATAGACAAGGAATCTCCACTTTCAAGAGAAATATTAAAATCAGGAACGTCGAAATCATCAGTCCACTCTCAACAGAGACGTATTTAATAACGACACCACAAACCATTAACGTAGAAATATTAGATATACATGCATATACATATATATATACATATTATAAAATATTCAACCTTTTAATAAATAATTGTTATTTACCTAGCCGCTTTGTCACTTGATTTGTCCAAAACCAAAATAAATTTAACGCTTCCAATCTTATTTCTAAGATCCTCCAGAAAATGAAGAGCCAACGAATGTTTATTTATGTTGTACATTTAGTACGGCGTAGTTTAAATCGCTAAACGCTCATGCTGTCGCATAATTTTGTTTGGCAGAGAATACCTAGGTTGTTGATGGGAGCAATTAAAAATGTGATTTGCCACATAGAGGAAATGTGCTGTAGATCGTAGGCGTACATTCCTACATCAACATTTCACATTCATGTTATCAGCTTAACATACTACTGTTATGTTAATTTTCATGTTAATTACATAAACCTCTGACTTGGCCTTCCCGACACGTCCTTTTATCTCATTATACTCATTCACGAAAGTGAATTATTATACTCATTGTGCAATGTCCGTCTTGGTGTCCGTCCGTCTGTCTGTATGAACGAAATCTATTTCGGCGCTATTGAAGCTAGAGACTTGAAGTTTGGAACACATACTAGTGTATATCTCCGATTTATAAAGTGTTAAAATTTTCCCAATCCGCCCCCTATGGGGGGAAATCATATAATAAGAGCTAGAAAGCTGAAATCTGGAAAATCGATCCGCACCAACCACCCAAGATCATGAGCTATGGCGGATATATCTACGCCCATTGGGGGCGTGGCAAATCGGATAAAACTGTATCTCCAAGAGTTTTACAGCTAGAGCGCTGAAATTTTGCACGTCAGCTAATGTTATGATGTCAATTCGCATCATGTCAACTTACAATTGTTCTTATCGATATTATCAAAACAAATGCTTGTGTTCATTACCCACATAATCATTTCTTTATCTCAACACATTTTTCTCATGTCTTCAGAGGTTAGTTAATGCAAATAAACTCAACCATTTTGATTTCATTTCTATTCTTCTGCTTCTTAAATCCATGTTACATCATCAAATGACAGTGTTACGGGATTTATATTCTCAAAGTACTTCATACTCTTCCGCAACAACTCGCCCATTTGGCTTTACCTCAAATGATTTAACGTGTGATGTAATACTTTGAAATCAATATTGTTCAAAAACCTTGTCTAGGGTTTTTCTGTCAACCCAAATGCATTATTGCTTCATGCACATGATTAATTACAGACTATTTAAAAGCATTCGGAGTCACAGATAGACAACGTGTTTTGCCATTTCGCTGAATAATGCAATATAGCAACGCGGCTCTAATTTCGTATGTTCTTAAAACATAATTTTGAGTTTCCCCAGCATTTAATTGCTTGATAATATCTATTATGTCCGAATTGCGTCGCTGCTCCACCAATAACGAATAATCTTTAATTTCTGCTAAATCCACACCAACTTCACCAACGTCTGTGGGTAAAGTATTTTGGAACAGAAAATCTGCATGGGCTATTTGGGTCGCTTTCCGATATTCTACTTTGAAATCAAATGAATGTAAGTACGCCCAGCATCGATGCTCTCTTGGCATCAATTCGTCTTTTGTGCGGTTTGCTTTTAACAAATAGCATCAGTATACAGAAAATGTTTACAATTTAAATAATGTCGAAAGTGCTTCACATCAACTCATACGAATTATATTTGAATTCTTCGGTGTGAAGTTCATTTATCAGAAAATCTTGGAACAAACTGTCTAAAATGTTAGGCCAATTCCCTTTCGGAAATTTCTTTACATTAAATGAAAATCCGGCATTTGCCAATGCCTTTAAAGCGATTGTTAACCTTTAAAAATCTTGTTCTATTAATCAAAACATCGTCAATATAAACAACTGCCTATGAATATGCCAATTCACGCAAAGCTTTTAAAATCACATGCTGAAACATAGATGAGGCATTCTTCAGGTCAAAACATAGCTAAAAATTCGTATTAACTCTCTGGAGTCACAAAAGCGGTTCGTTCAATAGAATCTTTATGTATCCGTATTTAATAAAATCCACTTGCCATATCCAGCCGGAAAAAATATTTTCCACCTAGTATTCTGGTTATCTGATCTGATATCTATCGAAGACGGTATTTATTAGACACCGTATTCGCATTTAGTTCACGGCCATCTACACGCAGTCTAACATTTTCATTTATAATTTGCTGAATTTTTCCTCTAACAATTTCCTTCTCATCTGCGCTCAACTCATATGGACGTCTTTGAACTACTTAATTTTTTTCTAACAACCAAAGCACAGTAGTTATCACTTTCATTCATTGCTCTTCACAATTTTTTCTCCTACCTCTCAATATTATATGGTTATTTATTCGCTTGCCAGACAACTTATTACTTAATGTTTCCTTGTTCACATAACACGCGGCACCCGAATCAAAGAAAAATGGAAAGAGTTTACCCTGCTGGTACATTTTTCTCTTCGGCTTATTACTTTATTACCGTCTGTGACTCCAATATGCGCTCTAATCTCTTGTGGATGTGGGCATTTTACTTTGTTTTTTATAACTTGAACCCATTGAAAATGGGAAATCAGGGTATAATAGTTTTGTTGAAATGTATGTAACAGGCAGAAGGAGGCGTGGCAGACTCCACAAAGTATATATATTCTTGATCAGGGCGACAATCTCTGAACCTATCCGTCTGTCCGAATATTTGACCTAGGTCCCTTCTATCACGCGCATATCAAGTTTTTCTCAACAAATCGATAACTACTCCTGCTCGACATCTAGATCCCCTAAACCTCACGAGCAACTGAAATTTCAATAATGTTTTAATTTTGTTATCATAAAATATCAGGAGTAGTTATCGATTTTTTGAGAAAAACTTTATACATTGTTACATACTTTTAACAAAACCATTATACCCTGATTTCCCATTTTCAATGGGTTCAGGGTATAATAAAAAAAATTGACTGTGGCATTCAAAAAGTTTGGATGTGCAATAAAAAAGATGTGAGTGTGAACTAGATGCAAAAATAAAAATAAAGAAATGATGCGGTTTGGCAAACGGAAGTATGAGAGTTTAATACTAAGCGACTGTGCAAGTGGATTTGGATGAGATGAGTGCTTAGTGAAGAAAATAGTGTTGATGTTGTATGTAAAACCAGTGAAATTTGTACAGTTTCATTGTATTCAAATGTATCCCTAAAACTTTTGAAAAATTTCTGTTCTATGTGTGTAAATTTCGAGCAACTTCTATAAATACTTAAAAAGAATAACAATGTACATTGAATTTTACAGAGAATGAAGCTTGCGTTTGGATTAAATGGAGCTAGTTTGTGGCATAAACCAGCACCCTCAGTAAATCACTGGCTATATCAATTAATAGATTTTCTTAATATAACTGTAAGTACAGCTTTAATTTTTTTTATTGTGGAGATTTTTTATTGTGGATTTATTTTATATTATTTTATTTTTTGATAAAAATACTCATTGTATCGATTTATCTGATAACTGATAATAGATTAAGCTTAGAATAAAGTTACAAATATTACCACAAAATGACAGACGTGCTAAATAATGACAGATGTGTTAAAAAATGACAAATGTTTCTACAACATTCCGCTCCCCATGAAACTCAGTTTCTGAATGTGGTAGGGCGTGATGGGCTTATAGTCTCTCCAGAAACGACCTTGAGTTTAACTATCTGCGGAGACTGAAACAGCGACTATAAGTTGAGCTGAAGAGAAAAGCGACAATACAGACTGAAACTCTCCAGTGATAACCATAGCAGCGCCAATAACAATGGAGTCTAAAGCAAGTAAGAAGGCTCTAGTCAAGACTGCTCGACTAGGAGATACCCCGAACCCTCCAAGCTGATATTCTAATCATTCTGCACGTCTTTAATGCACACATACATCCACACGTACGTATAAGCACGCGCTCTGCTAATTGCGCAGTAAGCAGCGACTGCGCTGCAGTGTGGGCAGTATTATGAGAATGTATTTGTTGAATAATATCTCTTGTAGTAAGACTATCTTCATGAAACTTTCAGAGCGTGATATATAGTTAAAATGTATGCACACATCTCTAGTACTTGAAATACGTATTTTCCAAATTGGGGGCGAAGGGGGCGTGGTATCCAAAATCTGTCAATTACAAAATCTACGTATCTATCAACTGTATATACACAGTAAATCTGAAGTCTCCAGGTTTAAAAGTATCCAAATTAGGCTGAAAAAACAAAATCAATTTTTCGATTATTCTCGATAAAAAAGTTATCGGATGAGTTATCAAAATAATATGATAAACTTGTACTGCGTATGGTACACACGAGTATGCATGCCCTAGCTCTTATATCTTTTGAGATCGGCTTGCTCATACGGACGGACAGACAGACGGACAGGGCCAAATCGACTCAGCTCGTCGCATTGATCAAGAATATATATAGGGGTTGGGGTAAATTTTAACACAAACAGAAATTGTATAAAATGCATATCAATATAACTTCAAAGTTTCGAGACTGTAGCTCTAAAGATGTAGGATATATAATTTTATAACTGATTTTCGATAAGGGTTTTCATCGATAAAAAAATATAAAAAAAATATAAATAAGTAATCGATTTTTAATGATAAAGTCGATATCCGCGCTGTAAATACGGACATTTTAAAAAAATTTGAAGTCTCTAGCTCTTATATCTTCTGAAATCGACGCGTTCATATATACGGACGGACAAACAGACGGACAGGGCCAAATCGACTCAGCTCGTCACCCTGATCAAGAATATATATACTTTGTGGGGTCTGCCACGCCTCCTTCTGCCTGTTACATACATTTCATCAAAACCATTATACCCTGATTTCCCATTGAAAATGGGTTCACAGTTTTTTTTTACTATCGACCACAATCGATGGTGCTATCGACCGCTATCGATGGTTTGGAAATTACTATCGCCCACAATCGATGTGGCCCACCATCGATAGTTTGGCCCCTCTAATACAATTAGATGCTTGATGCTAAGCGTGCAGACTTACATATATATACATATACATATGTTTGTATTTGCGTATATGTATTTAAGGGCTATTTGAGAACAAACAAATTTAAACTTATAAAATAACAAGTAAGAAAGCTCTAGTCGAGACTGCTCGACTACGAGATCCCCTGAACCCTTGGAGCAATAGATATTTCAATAATTTTTTGCGTCTTTCAGCTTACACAAGAAACACGCACACACACACACACACGCACGTACGCACACACAAACATACATACACAAACACGCATACACACACGCATACACACACACACATACACACACACGCATACACACAAACGCATACACACACACATACACACACAAGCACCCACGCATAAACACGCATGGGCTGCAGTGTGCGCTTACTATGAGAACTTAATTGTTTAATAACTTTTTTTATGGACGTACGATCTTCATGAAACTTTTAGATTATGATTATAACATGGATATGCATGTAATTGCCAAAGCACTAGTCTCTAGTATTTGAAATACGCTTTTTACAAAAGTGAGGGTGAGGGGGTGAATTTAAGGGTGGAGGGTAAATTTTAACAAAAATCGAAATTGTATAAATTGCATATAAGCATACATTAAAAATTTGGAGACTAGCAATAAAGGTGTAGAAGATATAATTTTATAACTGGTTTTCGATAAGGGTTTTTATCGATAAAAAAAGATCGAGATGAGTTATCGATTTTTAATGATAAACTTGATATGCGCGCTGCAATTACGGACATTTAAAAAAAAATTTGAAGTCTCTAGCTCTTATATCTTCGGAAATCGACGCGTTCAAACATACGGACAGACGGACAGACGGACAGACAGACAGACGGACAGGGTCAAATCGACTCAGCTCGTCACCCTGATCAAGAATATATATACTTTGTGGGGTCTGCCACGCCTCCTTCTGCCTGTTACATACATTTCAACAAAACCATTATACCCCGATTTCCCATTTTCAATGGGTTCAGGGTATAAAAATAAAATTATTCGACTAAGAAAAAGAAAAGTACTAAGTGTCATTCAGTCAAGCTTTCACCTTTCCAATAAAATATATGTATATTTTATAAAAAATGAAATATGTATGAAAAAATAATTAAAAATATCATCGAAGAGATTTCGAACCTCCCTACTCTAACATAACCTGCGTCGCCTTTAGCATCCGCGTTGCTGCTTTGCTCGATCAGCCAGTTGATAAAATAGAATAACTTAATAACAGAGCGTCATCTGAAAAAACTACAGTAGCGGCTAGAAAATCCAGAAATCAATTGAAATTCGAAGAATGTGCGAAATGACAGAATCTGTACGCATATAATAAACGATGAGTGTGTACAAATATATAGGAAAATCGCCCTGATCTGCTGCTAGCTTGAAGCCGGTATACAATTTATGATGATAGCAGTAGCTATCGGTGATTTTCCAATTTTAATGGGATCATGCCCTGTTTTTTGTTGCGCACTAGACTTGAAAATTGCACTATATATGGTTGACAGCGTTTGGGCTCAAATATTCAATATAATACGTAGATCATATGCTGAAAGTTTCATTAAATTTCGTTCTGTCAAAATTAATACAAAATAATCAAATATTTGGCCAATTAACAAACGCAAGTATATCGTATACGAGTGCACACATTCTTTGAATCACATCAACAGTTAGTTTGGTTTAGTTTTGCTAGATGGCGCTGCAGCAATGAATCTATTTCAGTTTTGCCAAAAAGGCTTCCGAAAGTGAGGTGGCGTAGTGAGAGCTGCGTGACGCTCGATCGAGAAATCGTGGTTCGAATCCCGAGCGATGCAGCTGATGTTCATTTTTTAATTGTTTCAAAATATTTTTTATATTATTAAATTAGTTTTGTATTTGATTTATATTTTTAAATACATCGAAATTGAAATTTTAACCATACTAAATGGGCATTTTTATTAGTTGGGTTTAGGGTAGTATCTAGTTGAGCACTCTCGACTAGAGTATTCTTACTTGTTTATATTCGTTTATTAACAACTTTTACAATATGAGTTTTGGTGTGTTTAGGTGGCTAACGTGGCGGGACGGCCGTAAAGCATTGCTTCGCTGGCACTTTGCACTCCCTTAGCTTGGGACAGCTCGTCTTGATTGTGGTCGCGAAGATGCTTATAAGTTTCCAAGCTGCCTCCAATTCCAACATCACGTTGACCATGTTGTCCCCTCTAATGGAGCGGCCCAATGCTTCTTCCAGACAACGCCTCTCCTCTAGGAAGCGTCCACATTCGAACAAGAAGTGGTTGGCTCCTCCACCAGACCTCGTTCGCACCAAGAGCATTCGCCGGTTTCATCCCGATAGAATCTGTGAAAGATGAAAATTAACTTCGCCGTGTTTGCGGGTTATCCATGGTTCAAGCTCAGGTATAAGAGTATGTATCCACCGCCCTTTAGTAGAGCTGTTCCACCTTCTTTGCCATCGTGCAATGCTGTTCGCTTGATATCGTTGCGTCGTATAGGTTCGTGTGCATTCCGTTCCACGGCTTCGGCGACTAAGTCCTCCAGAGGCACCATGCTGGCTATGACGAGCGCCACGTCGTCAGATACTGCTCTGAATGCGCAGCAGACTCTGATTGCATTTAGTCTATAGATGGCGCAAATGCCCCAGCTGTAGCTCGGCGTTGCAATAGCTCTTGCCCATATTGGCGCAGCATAGGATAACGGACCTAATGACGCTCATTAGAAGGAGACGTCGTTGCTGTTTTTGGTCCCCGCGTGTTAAGCATAATTCTTGAGAGAGCTCTACAAGACCCTCACTCGTGTTCTATACCAGTGTCCTTTCTCTGAAGTAGCTCTTATTATCTCTTTTAGATACTTAGGGATATTATATTGTGATAGCGCATCCAGTATCATATGCCAGCTAGCTGTGTTGAAGACATTCTTTACATCCAGGGCCGCGATGATGCAGTATTGCTTCGTTCCTTGCCTCCATCTGGTGCCTTGGATGGTGGAAGTTGCCAGGCCAACAACTTTTTCTAGCGCATCTGTTGTTGACCGGGCCTTCCGGAATCCAAATTGATTTGGTGACAGGCCTCCGGCGCTAGCAATAGCAGTCTCCAGTCTAGAGCAAATCAGTTTCTCAAACACCTTTCCCATGGTGTCTAAGAGGCAGATTGTCTGGGTAGCAATACCAGCCTTGGGTAGCAATACCAGGTTCTGGGTCTTCCATTTTGCAGGGAACGTCTCCTGAATTAAACATTCATTGTATAGTTCGGGAAACATACTAGGGTGCAAGGCGAGGGCTAGCTTTAACGCACGATTTGGGATCCCGTCCGGCCCTGGAGCTGTGTTAGTTCTAAGACCTCTGAGAGCTACTAAGATTTCCTCGTCTGTAACTAAAACAATTTGAGTGCTCGTTGAGCTCTGATCAGCAGCATCGGGCACAGGGGCATGAATGGAGCTTAATCTACTACATATATTATATGCCCTGGCCCAAGGGTCACATTCGGCTGAGTCACACAACTCTAAGAAGCATTCTCTTTTACTTGTCCCAATGGCCTTCTTCAACTCTTTTCTAGCTACCTAGAAAGCTAGTTATTTTTCAATAAACGTAGACCTACCGCGAGCCCGTTGGTAGCTTCTTCTCGCCTGGATGCATTTGCGTCGAATGTCACCTATTTGTATATTCCACCAATACATAGGCTGCTGTTGTCGCGTAAACTGTTCGCGACGTAACATGCTCCTATTGCAGGCACTCTGAATTTGGGCCACCATTTGGCATGCTCTGGCGTCAGCATTACAATTGTGCCCAGAGACTGAATAGCCTCTGAAAAGACCGCGGGACCAAAAGTATCTAGCCCATACGATTCTCTCCGCAAGGTTGACGCCCTGGCAGGTGGCTCACCTATTGTGAACAGAAGTGCCGTACGATCGCTGCCCGTATAGCTATCGCAATGGCTGCATGTTACTTTCCGAAAGAGGGATGAAGTGACAAATTAATGTCAATTACAGATCCGTATCCAGACCAACTGAAGGTGAACTCGTGGCCAGTGTTGAGCAGTGCAACATCTAGTGTTGCGAAGATCTTCAGTAGGATACGGCCTCTGGCATTTGTTGTGTGGCTGCCCCATTCTAACGCCCATGAGTTGAAATCCCCTGCTATAATGGCCTTCCGACCCCTAGAATCCTCGGCAAGCTCGTCTAGCACCGTTGGGAATTCACTGAGCTCCATGCTGGGTGCCAGATAGCAACTGTAGAGCCATAAGTTACCATATCGGCCACGTACGAACCCATTGAATGACTTAACATCCGAAAGTACATTCGCTGAGTTGCCACATACCCACAACACAGCTTTAACGCATTTCTCCACACCTGAAACAGGCGCCCTTTAGGTCACAGTCGCTGACGCAGTTGACTGCAATATGACCGTAATTGAGGCCCTTGAAACAGCGTTTCGGCTGATCCACAGCTCGGATACGGCCTACTACCCATCCTATCTATTCTCAACTAGAGCTTTCTTACTTGTTTTTTTATTAGTTTTTTTTCAGGGTAGTATTTTGTAGAGCATTCTCGACTAGAGTTGTTTACGGCGCTTTGTCGATTCGGCTGCGTGAGTTGAAATTGTTTTTGATCTCATGGCCCATTAAACATAGTTCTGTTTAAATCTGCACGATATCCGTGCTAGAGTGCACTCCTCTTACCAGGCTCTATATAGGACTCGTTTTCCTTTAGCTGAATATGAATACATGGTAGTCACCGTTAATGTTTCTAAAGCTAACGAAGAAAATAGAGAAAGCTATGTAAAACTTAAATCCCATATTTATCAACTGTAACGAATCTTCGGTTTATCCGAGGCTAAACAGTTCTAGTTTCAGCCGACTGTGAGTTCGTGCCAACAAATTAATTTGTAGAAGCCCCTGCGATAATAATTAGTCACTTGTGACTTAGGTTTGAACGTAATGTATATTTTCTGGAATATGCCTATAATTTGACACTTCACTTAGAGTACCATTTATAGCGACTCGCCTCCGCATGGTAGGCTCAGAGTACTCAGGCCGACAGAGTGTTGTGCTAACAACACGCTAGGTTCGCTTGAACGATCCAGAAGACGCTAGGATTCGGTTCTGTAAGCTCCACGGTTCCGATACACAGGCTACTTCAATTATTCGACTCGCTCACAGCACAAATAGCTTTGTTTCACTCGCAATGCATTTCTCGTACGGACGGCTGTATGTGAAGGCCTCGCTAAAGCTGCTGGTGTTGTTCTCATCCGCACCAATGTCCTCGTGGGTGCCCGCCGACGATTCTGATTGCCTCTTATCCTTTTATAGTCGCTGCAAGGATTGCCTCTGGATATCCTTGCTGTTCCCACGATGCCCTGGAAGTCTTTCGATGTCCTTATTTAACACTTGCGTTGACTTTCGGTACTTGCACTTTCACTCAGCTCTCATTTTATCACTTTTTATACCCTGAACCCATTGAAAATGGGTATAAAAATGAATCAGGGTATAATGGTTTTGTTGAAATGTGTGTAACATGTATGTAACCCCATAAAGTATATATATTCTTGATCAGGGCGACGAGCTGAGTTGATTTGGTCCTGTCCGTCTGTATGTCCGTCCGTATGTATGAACACGTCGATTTTAGGAGATATAAGAGCTACAGACTTCAATTTTTTTAATGTCCGTATTAACAGCGCGGATATCGAGTTTATCACTACAAATCGATAACTCATCCCTATCTTTTTTTTATCGATAAAAAACTTAATCGAAAATCAGTTATAAAATTATACCTCTTACATCTTTAAAGCTAGAACATCCAAATTTTATATGTATATTTATATGCATTTTATACAGTTTCGATTGTTGTTCAAATTTACCCCCCACCCCTATATCCACCCCCTCACCAATATATTTGTAAAAAGCGTATTTCAAATACTAGAGACTTGTGCTTTGGCAAGTGGCGCATATTATTGTTATAATTACGATCTGAAAGTTTCATGAAGATAGTCCATCCACAAGAAAAGTTATGAAACAATTAAGTTTCCATAGTATGCCACCACTGCAGCCAATGCGTGCTTATGCGTGTGTGCGTATGGCTGTGTGTGTGCATGTGAAAATAATTATTAAAATACCAGTTGCTCGCTCGAAGGGTTCAGGGGATCTTGTAGTCAAGGTCTCGACTACAGCTTTCTTACTTGTTTTTTATCTTCTCGCACTTTTCTATATATATTCTATAGGCGGACCTTGACCTCTGCCGGTGGCTACAATTCTGTTTTAAAATCGATCTAGACATATGGTTTCAAGTAATAATATATGGAGGTTTATTTTGTAGTCTTTTCATTATAAGAAAACATTCACAAAATACAATTAGGTTCGAATATTAAAGAAAATGTGATTCAAGTTTCCTCCCTGAATTTTCATCGTTATAAACATCAATTGTTTAAAAGCTCAGAATTTTTTCCAGATCAGGAATTTTCTTTTTCTTTTGGTATAAAAGTGAATACTGATCTACCAACAAAAGTTGACATTATTTTAAAAAAATTTTTTTAGAATATATATCTGACTGATTATCTAAATTATTATTAATTATTTGCAGGACTATCCTATTGAATCGTATGAGCCCTATGCGCTTGTTTCGGAAATTCAAGGACATATTTGGAATTTGGCCATAGAATATAGGTAAGTCATGATTTAAACAAGAAATAAAGCTTTAGTCGAGACTGCTCGACTACGAGATCCCCTGGACCCTTCGAGCAACTGATATTTCAAAAATTACAATAAAAATTGTGAATTAAAAAAAAAAAAAAATAATATTATATTAATTATATATGAATCTAAATTAAAAGTTTGTAGTCGCCATAAGATGTAGAATATATGAATTCATTACTGATTTTCGATATCTTAATTTTCGATAACAAAATATCAGAGTAGGTATTGATTTTTCGAAAAAACAAGTAAGAAAGCTCTAGTCGAGACTGTTTGACTACGAAATCCCCTGATTTCCCATTGGAAATGGGCTGTGTATAAAAATAATAAAATGTTTGACCAATTAACAAATACACGTGCAGCAGCTTCAACAGTTTTCGTATACGTGAGCACACATATATTCAAAATTCTTCTAGCGCATTCATTCTAAAACTACATCAGCAATTATTTTGGTTTAGTTCTGCTAGATGGCGCTGCAGCAGTGAATCTATTTCAGTTTTGCCAACCAAAAGTGAGGTGGCGTAGTGACTACCGGCGTGATGCTCGATCGAGAAGTCGCGGGCTCAAATCCAGAGCGTGCAACTGATGTTAATTTTTTTAATTGTTTCAAAATATTTATTTAATTTATTTATTTAATTAAATCAGTTTTCTATTTCATTTATATTTTTAAATACACCGAAATTGAAATTTTAACCATACTAAATGTGCGTTTTTATTAGTTTGGTTATTCTAGAAGATTCTTAGAATCACATCAGCAGTTAGTTTGGTTTAGTTTTGCTAGATGGCGCTGCAGCAGTGAATCTATTTCATTTTTGCCAAAGCGGCTTCAGAAAGTGAGGGTGTCTAGTGTGTAGGGGCGTGACGCTCGATCGAGAAGTCCCGGGTTCGAACCCCAAGCGCGCAACTGATCTTAATTTTTTTAATTGTTTCAAAATATTTATATATTTTATTAAATGCATTTTGTATTTTATTTATATTTTTAAATACATCGAAATTGAAATTTTAGCCATACTAAATGTGCGTTTTTATTAGTTTGGTTCAGGGTAGTATCTAGTCGAGCACTCTCGACTAGAGTTTTCTTACTTGTTTTAAAACGACGTTGGTGAGGACCACTCGGATACGCTACACCGTAAGAAGCCTAGACGGGCATGATGTCATATTCCACATTTAATGGCATATATACCTTTCAAATAAAAAAATTATTTGGTCAATACCTCACACACAGCTTGTTTTATTCTATTTCAACATCTACCCGACCTTATTGAGAAACCCTATATATTTTTTCTCAGCACAACGAGAAGATATAACAAGTAAGAAGACTCTAGTCGAGACTGCTCGACTAGGAGATACCCTGAACCCTCCAATCTGATATTCTAATCACTGTGCACTTCTTTTCGGCACTCATACATACACACGCACGTATTAGAACGCGCTCTGCTAATTGTGCAATAAGCAGCGACTGCGCTTGGGCTTCGCTGCAGTGTGGGCAACATTATAAGAATTTATTTGTTGAATAATTTAATTTCTAGACGTACAATCTTAATGAAACTTTCAGGGCGTAATCATATGGTGAAAATGTATGTACATTCACACAAGCACACGTCTCTAGTACTTGAAATACGCATTTTACAAAGGTGATGGTGAAGGGTGGATATAGGGGTGGGGGGTAAATTACATCAAAAATCGAAATTATATAAAATACATATAAGTCTACATTTAAAATTTACAAGCTCTAGCTCTAAAGGTGTAGGAGATATAATTAAATAACTAATAATAAAGAAAAACTTGATATGCGCGGAATATACACGGACCTAGGACAAAAAATTTCAAGTCTCTAGCTCTTATATCTTCTGAGATCGACGCGTTCATACATACGGTCGGACGGACGGACGGACAGACAGACGGACAGGGCCAAATCGACTCCGTTCGTCGCCCTGATCAAGAATATATATACTTTGTGGGGTCTGCCACGCCTCCTTCTGCCTGTTACATACTTTTAACAAAACCATTATACCCTGATTTCCCATTTTCAATGGGTTCAGGGTATAAAAACTAGAGATGTACTATTATTTTCGGTGCTTTTAATAGTAGATAAAACTTTACTATATATTTAATATATTCATGTGAATTTTAAAGAATATTGTAGTTTATTGTAATACCCTTTCCATCAAATTTGTAAAAAATGGAATTTCAAATTTAAGACTAGGAAATAACATACCTTCTATAATTTTCACGTTCTGAAAGTTTTATGGACAGTCGATCTACAGAAAAAAATATTAAATAATTTACAGGCAAGCTTACGCTGTGTATATTGTAGTGTAAGCAGGAAAAAAGCGAAGAATTATTGAAATATCAGTTTCTTCAAGGGTTCAGGTCGATCGCTCGTTCATATAGTCGATTAATATTTCAGGCCAAAATATTTACCTTACCGAGCTTTATTGGATATTGGATATTGTTCATTTAGCAGCAATATTATTTATCCCATGACCGGCTGTACTTTACGACTGATTAGTGAAGATTGCATACTCTCAATCGGCCAAAAAGTAAGTATAATTCATAAAATATATTATTATATGTATAAATATTATTATACGAGTATGTTCCAAGATTTACATATTGAAATCCGCCAATCCAAATGCTAAAAGCTATACTAAGAAGCGCGACCGATCGTGTCAAAGTATTACACAAAGTATTATTCCCACTGTTAAAATGGAAAATTGCGTATAAAATTATATATCTAAAAATTTGCTAGATGCCCAAAAATTACAGATTGATAAAAAATTATATAGTGTATATTAAACTTGAAATTTAGAATTTATACTCGGTTTGAAAACTAAAGACCTGATATTTAGATAATGACTAAATCATGATAGCAGTAAACTTCACAATTAGACAGTTGACTTATTGGATGACTCCTCTAGTGATACGTAAAATTCATAAATAAAATTTCTGTGGGCATCCTTCATTGCTTTGAAATATGGATCTGGCCATGCTTGGACAGTTAATGAGTATTCTACGGTCGGTAACGACCGACTGAAACGTTCCTACTTGTTTAATTAATTTTGCATACACTTTAAATTTAATAACTTTTGTTGGATGATTTTAGGATAAGGCTGTAAACGATGTTCAGGAATTTATTACAAGAATTAACAAATCGGGCTTAGTACCAGTTTTAAATGTTGGACTATTAAATTTTTCTATACACCTTAATGAGCACAATAAGTCATACCCAAGCATTGATTTGAGATCATCAATACATGATATTCATTTAAAAACCTGTTATGACGGAGCAGAGGTCTTAGCACAACTTATATCATATATTGCTAATGATAAAGACTTTAAAACAAGTATGAATAACGCAAATAGCTTTAACAAAACGGATATAACACCAGTTAGAAATGCTGACCATACTAATGATAAAACGGTAAATCAAATAAATACACTTATGGCAGATGCAGTTAAGGATGTGAAAACTCTTTCCGTGCCTCAACCTTTTGATGAAATCCTCAAAGTCGAAAATGAGAGTCTACAAAGTAAACCAATATTAAGCAACAACCGGTTTGACTTTGATCAAATTTTTGATATGAGATCACAAGATTTTTATAAATACGACACAACCGAAAACTCCTTTATCAATACCGATCTTGGAGCTATTTCATTAAATGTTGCGCCGACTTTAGAAGAAAAAGAGTTCCACATAATACACGACGAAGACATTTTGTTTATGGTAAGTAAGAACCATTATGTTACTATTCTCTATCGTATTGTATGTTAAGAATGGTTGTTTCATGTTCATATGAGAAAAGGCACAAATAAGAATTAGTATTATATTATTATATCTTTTGTAATGCGACTGGCAACCTTGCCCTGCGTGGTGAAACCACGGGAGAGGTCGTAGAGCAGGAGTTATGTTGAAGTTGCATTGCCAACACCATGGGGAACGGCAATGCCGAGGTAGGCAAGCGGTTCAAGCGTGCAAGAACTATTGATTGGAAACCAGAGCTCAGAGTCAGCGGACGGCAAAGGCCGTTTAAAAGTGTAACACGTGAAGTAGATGAATCAGTTCGTTGAGGAAGTCAAGTAATATATGAATGGAGATAATAAAAACAATTGAATTTTCTTTTGGTAGCTGATAAAAGCCTCTGTAACGCTAACAACTAAATAACCAGACTAACTTGACGGGATTATACGTTATTTGAACGTGGCTTCGCACATTTGCCGGCAGGAGAGAGCTCCAGCAGGCAAAAATAGAATCAGTGGCATTGTTTTCATGCTCTGCGAACCTTTTAAATTAAATAGATTAAGCTAATGATTACTTAAACTATATATAAATATTTTTATTTTATATTTTGCTCTGAAGGATAATTTTGGTGTCGACCAGATATACGTTTCCGATGGTCCTCTGCAAATAGTTGACAATCATTTTAGTTTACCCAGTGAAAAAAATGATATTCTAAGCCCTCCTCCTAATTTTCCAATTCCTGAGCACAGTTATACATTATGTGAAATGACATTTACATGGCATCTGTACGGAGGAAAAGATTTTCCTGATATTACAAAATCAAACCCGAAAGATAATACCAGGTATGTGAATTGCAAACCATTCTAATAATCCAAATAATTTTGAATAAGTGGTTTTTGTTAAGGCAGCTCTCATAGTGTTAATAATAGTTGTATGACAATTATAAGAACTGTCTATCAATCTACACGTATTCTAATTAATTATTTTACCTTGAACCCATTTTCCTTTTGTTCAAGAGATATTTCAATTCAATTTTTATAAAAGTTACGTCATAACGCTTATTTTTAATTTTTATTATAAAAATTGGATATAAAAGTTATAATTTGCTTTTTATATAAAAATTGATCTGTAATAAATATTTTTGATTTTCATCATATAAATTATTTATAATGATAAATATTTTTTTTTTTTAAATTACTCATCAAATAATTCTTATTTTTTAATTGGTTGCTATAAAAATTATAATCGTTACAGGCCCTGATATTAATCACTAAACTTTTGTAATAGTATGACTATGGGTGGTTATAACGTGTAGCCATTGAAAATGGGTCGGTGCCTGTGTTTTTCCGTTATTTTGAGCACGTCTATCTCAGAAGATAGGAGATAGAGACTTGGAAAGTTTGTTTTCAATTAAAAATCTTATTGAAAAGCAATTATGAAATCATGTTCCTTGCATCTTTCCATTTTTTTTTTTAATTCACCTCACTCCCATATCAACCCCGTTCGCTCTATATTTGAAAAAGATTATTTCAAGTAAAATTGACTTTCTTTGAAAAATACACGCATTGAAATATTATTATCATCTACCCAATCAAGTTCCCATATGCGTGCGTCCGTATACTTGTGTAAAGCGAAAAATGATTGAAATATCAGTTTCTCGAAGTGCTCATAATCGAGCAACTCTCTAGGTCTCGGCAATCCTACGGATAGACAGATGGACGAACATTGCTATATCCACTCAGCTCATCGTCCTGATCAAGAATATATAAACTTTATACAGAAAAATTATACTCTGAACTAGGGTTGTCGAAAATATATCGAAATATCAATATGTTGCTTTAAAAATATATTTATATCGGGATATTTTGTTTGCAAAATAATAATAAATAATATTATTTCCCCCATTTTTTTTTTTTTTTATATATTTGAGTTGGGAAAAAGTAAAACAAGTAAAAAAGCTCTAGTCGAGACTGCTCGACTACGAGATCCCCTGAACCCTGCGAGCAACTGATATTTTAATAAATTTTCGCATATGCACACACACACGCACACACACAGGCATACGCACGCATAATCACGCATTGGCTGCAGTGGTGGCTTACTATTAAAACTTAATTGTTAAATAACTTTTCTTGTGGATGCACTTTCTTCGTGAAACTTTCAGATTATGATTATAACATAAAAATGCCTGCAATTGTCAAAGCACAAGTCTATAGTATTTGAAATACGTCTTTTACAAATATGTGGGGTAGGGGGTGGATATAGGGTAAATTTTAACAACAATCGAAACTGTATAAAATGCATATAGCTTTAAAGATGTAGGAGATATAATTTTATAACTGATTTTCGATAAGGTTTTTAATCGATAACAAAATAACGGGACAAATTATCAATTTTTAAAGCAAAGCTCGATATGCGCGTGGTATACACGGACCTAAGTCTGTAGCTCTTATATCTTCTGAAATCGACACTTTCAAACATACTGACAGACGGACGGACAGACAGACGGACAGGGCTAAATCAACTCAGATCATCGCCTGATCAAGAATATATATACTTTGTGGGGTTTACCACGCCTCCTTCTGCCTGTTACATACATTTTAACAAAACCATTATACCCTGGTTTCCCATTGAAAATGTGTTCAGGGTATACAAATTGAATATGGTGAAAACGAATTGTTTGGACTTTAAAAATGGAACAGTCAAATGTAATTTGTGCCTTAAAATAATAAAAATAAGTGGTAACACACCAAATATGGCGTCGCATATGAAAATCAAGCACAATGATGCATAGACTGGCAGTACTCTGTGTGGAAAAATGGGAGCTTGAGCAAACTTCTAGGGAAAGCAATCCAATAATTAGTACCTTCGAAGCGACTTGCTTCGGCAATAAAATGTGTTGTCAGCGACTGACGAAGTCGTATGACGGATAATCAAATCACAGAACGCGTTTTTTTAAATCTTTAAGTACAGAATACTGGAGTTAAGCGGTCTTTATAATTCAAATAAAAATAATAATAATTCTTATGGTTCTTGTTTTTTGGGACGGATTATAAATTTATTGTAACATCAAATATCATTTTGATATTTTTCAAAACTTAAAATATTATTGATACAATATTTTTACCCTACCTTGAACCCATTGAAAATGGGGAAAAGAGAGATGTAACATCTGTTTATATATTAATTAATTTTCTGATTTTAGTTTCACAGCGGGAATGTCTGAAACATATGAGTATGGAGTATCACAAGCTCCAAGCAAGCATCAAGCAAATACAAAAAATATGGTATATAATGATATGAATACATGTCGTAATTTAGATGTTCTTGTTGAAATACAATTTACAAAAATTCGTTTCTCTTATGATGCATACCCCAAACATTCAATTTATTCATCTCGACAAGTACTAGTTATTTCGGATATTGAGATACGTGATCGTTTACTTTCTTCGGACATCAACAAGCTTCTTTACCATCCCCATAAAAGTAACGCATCACAAAAAAATGATGAAAATATGATTATGATAAAAGCACTGAATGCTCGATCCAATTTAAAGAAACACCGAGGAGAAGAGTGTTCATTGAAAGTCTCAATTTTACCTATCAGACTTAATATTGACCAAGACACTCTATTGTTTCTGGAAGAATTTTTTTCAGCTTTAGTTAAAAGTTCTGAAAATTCAACATCTTTAAATAACTTAAAACGTAATACTGTGGCCATATATGAAACCTCAAATAGCATTCCTGATTTAAAACGTAATGATGAAACAGATACTGATATAATGAATGCAATAATAGATCCAGAAACTTCTATTGAAGATGAAGATAATCCCATTTATTTTAAGGAGTTTATATTCAGTCCAGCTTTACCAATCTGCTTTGACTATCATGGTCGGAGAGTTGAATTATCTCATGGTCCAATAACTGGATTAATAATGGGACTCGCACAGCTACAGGGATCTGGAATATGTCTACGTGAAGTTATTAATCGGTGAGTTTCTATTGTGTAATGATTAAAATACTTTAAGAATATAATCAATTAGCAGATACATTGTCTATTGAATATATATATCTGCTCATTGATTATATTCTATATATATATAATCTATGTAAAATATTTTTTGAACCAAACTAATAAAAATGCACATTTAGTACGGCTCAAAATTTCAATTTTGATATGTTTAAAAATATAAAGGAAAAACAAGTAAGAAGACTAGTCGAGACTGCTCGACTAGGAGATACCCTGAACCCTCCATTCTGATATTCTAATCACTGTGCACTTCTTTTCGACACACATACATACACACGCACGTATTAGAACGCGCTCTGCTAACTGCGCAGTAAGCAGCGACTGCGCTTGGGCTGCGTTGCAGTGTGGGCAACATTATAAGAATTTATTTGTTGAATAATTTAATTTCTAGACGTACAATCTTAATGAAACTTTCAGAACATAATCATCAAGTGTATGTACATTCCAAAGCACATGTCTCTAGTATTTGAAATACGCTTTTTACAAAGGTGAGGGTGAGGGGGTGGATATAGGGGTGGGGGGTAAATTACAACGAAAATCGAAATTATATAAAATCCATATAAGTCTACATATAAAATTTGCAAGCTCTACCTCTAAAGGTGTAGGAGATATAATTAAATCACTAGCTTTCGATAAGGTTTTTGATCGATAATAAAATATCGGGAGTCGTTATCAATATATAGAGAAAAACTTTGGAAGCTCTAGCTCTAAAGGTGTAGGAGATATAATTAAATAACTAGCTTTCGATAAGGTTTTTAATTGATAATAAAATATCGGGAGTAGTTATCGGTATATAAAGAAAAACTTGATATGCGCGTAATATACACGGACCTAGGAAAAATTAATTAATAATTTCAAGTCTCTAGCTCTTATATCTTCTGAGATCGACGCGTTCATACATACGGACGGACGGACGGACGGACAGACAGACGGACAGAGCTAAATCAACTCAGCTCGTCGCCGTGATCAAGAATATATATACTTTATGGGGTCTGTCACGCCTCCTTCTGCCTGTTACATACATTTAACAAAACCATTATACACTGATTTCCCATTTTTAATGGGCTCAGGGTATAATAAAAGTCGTTTACAGCATACATAGATTAATGAATAGTCTACATGGGAAGAGACAAATATTTAATTCATTTCCAAAGAGAACAAATATTACTATCAGTTAGTCTAAGTGTGACCAGTAAACTAACTGACAACAATTGTACTCTTCAGAAAAGAGTTCAATATTTATTTAATCATCATCATACATAATTAGGGTTACACAACGCCATCTGTAGAGATAAGTAGATATGTCTGTTAAAGAAAATCATGAAATCGCTGCAAATGTAAATGATAGATATTATAATCACCGGTTTTGTACAACCCATCCACAATTATAATATATATCATAAATATTTGAATCTATCACAAATTTTTTTTGAATCTACAGTGCTTATCATAATTATAGCCCACTTTTAATCCACTGAAACGAATCGGCTGAAAAATTTTCCCAAATGGCATATTTCCTCAAAATCTTTTAAAATGAGTGGTTCAATATTTCAATTATGAATGGCAAAAACTTTTTCACTTAAAATTTACGATTTAATAACTGTTGGAGTGGTGGCGTCGCCGATAAGTAAAAAGACCGGTTTGTAGTTTCCTCGTCTTTATTTGTAGGATGGTAGCTGTTCAGCTCTTATAAAAGAGTGTGTAAAGAATATATATGCCCGAAGAGGCAAGTGATCAGTGGAGGGGGGACGAAGAACTCCGCGGGGCGCTAAGTACCGCGAATCAGTACGAGATCTGGGTTATGTTATTAACAGAGTGCTGTTAATAACATAACATTGTGTGGTGCGGGTGGAGCAATTCTTGTTAATGGGATCTGGCATTACAATAACGATTTCTTAAAAATAAGTAAAAAACAAAGAAAAACAGCACCATTTGCTGTATCAGAATTATAGCCCATATTCATTTTTTGGTAAAAAAAAATTCTGAATTCGTTGCGGATTGATGGAAAAACTAATGTTAATACTTAGTCCGGCCTCCATTTGCCTTAGTTAACTCAAAAATTCTCTTTCTCATTGAAATCACTAAATTTAATAAAAGGTCCTTTTCGAAACTTTGTCATTCATTTAGAATTTGCGTTTTAAGATATCCAACTGTCTCCAATTGACGATTTTTGGCACACACACGTTTTGCAAGATTACCCCAGACATTTTCTATTGGGTTGAGATCTGAAAAACATGCTGGCCAGTCAAGGACATCAACATGAAATTTCTCCAAACATTCCTTTGTACGTTCTGCTCACATGGATTCTGGCATTATCCTGTTGGAAAACCATTGGTTTCTAACATAATTCCCTTGAATGTGGAATGAGACTACTATCCAGAGTCTGAATATACTCTTCACTGTTCATTCCGCTCGTTACAAACTTCAATTCCAAAATACCAAATGAACAAAATGTACCCAAAATCATGAAGGAGCCACCTCCAAAGTCTGTCCTTGAAAATAACATAGGATCCTTCCTCAAGTCATTCTAATAAGTATCAAACCCATCAGGACCATCCAGGTTAAACTTCTTCCCATCAGAAAATATGACCTGTTAGGGTAAAAATTTATAAATATACTGTAAGCCAAAAGACGATGATTCAAACGCGCGTATGTCAGATCGGTCGCAGTATGTCTTTCAGCAAAATCAAGTCGAGCAACCTCGTGGTCACTTAGCAACATGGATGCTTTGGTCGGTTTAGACCTATTTATGATTCCTGAGCTCTTAATTCCTCGCCAAACAGCCATCGCTGACATAGATTCGGCCACATGTGCGGCAAAAGCTGTACAAGCGGTTGAGCTGTTGCTGGCTTTCTTAATAATTTGGCGTTTATCGTGCGCAATTAGTTACGGTTTTCGCGCAGTACATTTTCTTGATCCTTAATCTTCGGGGTTATCAAATAAAATTTTAATTGACTTCTTTTCAAAATTCGTAAAATACTCGAAATAGACTCTTTTTTTCTTCTTTTCATAATAAGATAATTGTTTTCTAAGCGGCATCTCTTAAAAACAATCTAAATTTACTTAATTACAATGTCTGTAAAGCCAAAAGTCTGTTCCGCACTTAATAAATTCAAATTTGCGACAGTGGGCTATAATTATGATACACAAAAATGCTAGCACAGAGCAAAAGTTAACGGTTCTTTCTTAGTTTTCCATAAATTGAACAAAAATTTCAATAAAATCCACTAAACATGCTCCAGTCTACAAAGTGCAGTAAAATTTAATTTTGAAAAGCCTTAAAAATGTTGTTAAGAGTGGCTCAAAGTTTAAGTTGATGGGTGGGCTATAATTGTGATAAGCACTGTATCATAAATATTGAAATTCCATAAAAGTGCTGAAATTTATGTTTGTAATTAGTGCACAAATTTGAAACTATTAGCGGTTCCGTGCCGTTGGAGCATGGCATCATCCGAATAAGTCTTTTCGGTTGTGAAAGTGAAATGAGTATATTGGTTTTGTGCATGTTCGTCTTGTCCGTCCGTCTGTCCGTTTATCCGTATGAACGCAATTTATTTCAGCGTTCTTGAAGCTAGAGACTTGAAATTTGGACCATATACTTGTTTATATCTCTGATTTAAAAAGTGTGAAAATCCTATCCGCCCTCTAAGGGCGTGACAAATAAAATACATTATCCAAAAATACATTATCCAAAAATACATTATCCAATATACCAAAAATCATATTAGTTGAAGAGCTAGAATGCTGAAATTTGGAATGTAGATCAGCTTCGACCACCCAAGATCAGCAAACTATCTACACCCATTTGGGGCGTGGCAAAACGGGTAAAACTGTATCTCCTAAAATTTTAAAGCTAGAACGCTGAAATTTTGAACGTGAGGTCCTGAAATTTGATTACTATATTTTGCAATCAATGTTGTAGTATGTGTAGGGTTTTATCTTAAATTTTCCTTGTGGAAGACCCTCCCATTTAGTAAGACTGTTCTCCCCACAAATAATGGATATTGAAATGTATGTAACAGGTAGAAGGAGGCGTGGCAGACCCCACAAAGTATATATATTCTTGATCAGGGTGACGAGCTGAGTCGATTTGGCCGTGTCCGTTTGTCTGTCCGTCCGTCTGTCCGTATGTATGAACGCGTCGATTTCAGAAGATATAAGAGCTAGAGACTTCAACTTTTTTTTTAAATGTCCGTATTTACAGCGCGGATATCGAGTTTATCATTAAATATCGATAACTCATCCCGATATTTTTTATCGATTAAAAACCTTATCGAAAACCAGTTATAAAATTATATCTTCTACACCTTTATTGCTAGTAGCCAAATTTTTAATGTATGCTTATATGCAATTTATGCAATTTCGGTTTTTGTTAAAATTTACCCGCCACCTCTATGTGCGCCCCCTCACCTTCACTTTTGTAAAAGGCGTATTTAAAAAACTAGAGACTTGTGCTTTGGCAAATACATGCATATCCATATTATAATCATTATCTGAAGTTTCATGAAGATCGTATGTTCACAAAAAAAGTTATTAAGCAATTAAGTTCTCATAGTAAGCGCACACTGCAGCCCATGCGTGTTTATGCTTGTGTGTGTATGTGTTTGTGTATGTCTGTGTGTATGTATGTGTGTGTATGTGTGTCTGTGTGTGCGTGTTTCTTGTGTAAGCTGAAAGACGCGAAAAATTATTGAAATCGCTATTGCTCCAAGGGTTCAGGGGATCTCGTAGTCGAGCAGTCTCGACTATAGCTTTCTTACTTGTTTCATATTCGTTTATTTACAATCTTATTATTACAAGTTTCAAGTTGAGTGGTGGCTCGGATAGCGCGCGATGCTTGCGGGACGATCGTAAAGCATTGCTTCGCAAGCACTATGCGCTACCTTAGCCTGGGACAGCTCGTCTTCTCATTCGCTCGACTCTGCGCAGCTCCATCATCACTGTGGCCGCGAAGGTGCTTGTTAGTTCCCAAGCTTCCTCCGATTCCAGCATGGCGTTGACTATGTTGTCCGCTCTGATGGAGCGGCCCAGTGCCTCTTCTAGACGACGCCTCTCCTCCAGGAACCGTCCACATACGAAAAGGATGTGGGTGGCGTCTTCCACATGCCCTCGCCCGCACCAGGGACACTCGTCAGTTTCCTCGTGACCAAAGCGCTTCAAATAGCTCCGAAAGCATCCATGGCCCGAGAGGATCTGCGAAAGATAGAAGTTTACCTCGCCGTGTTTGCGGTTAACCCATGGTTCGAGCTCCGGAATGAGCTTGTGCGTCCACCGCCCTTTAGCTGAGCTATTCCACTTCCTTTGCCATCGTGCAATACTGTTCGCCCTGATAGCGTTGTGTCGCACAGACGCGTGCGAATTCCGCTCCACGTCTTCGGCGACCAGGTACTCCAGTGGCACCATGCTGGCTATGACAAGTTGCCATCGCTCTTGACCATATTGGCGCAGCATAGAGTATGACAGACCTAATGACGCTCACTAGAAGAAGACGTCGTTGCTGTTTGGGTCCCCGCGTGTTAAGCATAATTCTTGAGAGAGCTCTACAAGAATCAGCTGCCTTTTTATGCACATATTCTAAGTGCTCGCGGAAAGTTAATCTTGTGTCTAACATGATGCCAAGATACTTAATCGCCCTCTTTGACGGGATGCTGACGCTGCCTATCCTTATATTGGTAGTCTCCACTTTCTTGCGACTTCTTACTAGGACGACTTCCGTCTTGTGCGCCGCAAGCTCGAGCCCAGCTCCTGTCAACCAGTTTCGTATGAGATTGATACTTTCGCTGCACATATCCTCTGTATCTTTAAGCTCCTTGCCTATGGCGACGACAGCCACATCATCAGCAAAGCCAATGGTGTACGCACCTGCTGGTAGTTCCAAGCGCAGTACGCCGTCGTACATGATATTCCATAGAAGAGGCCCCAGCACCGAGCCTTGGGGTACTCCAGCTGACACTGTATGAGTCTGGGGACCCTCACTCGTGTTGTATACCAGTGTTCTTCCTCTGAAGTAGCTCTTTATTATCTCTTTTAGATATTTAGGGATATTATATTGTGACAGCGTATTCAGTATCATATCCGAACTAGCTGTGTTGAAGGCGTTCTTAACGTCCAGGGTCGCGATGATGCAGTATTGCTTCGTCCCGTGCGTCCATCTGGTGCCTTGGATGGCGGAAGTTGCCAAGCCAACAACTTTCTAGAGCATCCGTTGTTGACCGGGCCTTCCGGAATCCAAATTGATTAGGTGATAGGCCTCCGACGCTAGCAATAGCAGTCTCCAGTCTAGAGCAAATCAGTTTCTCAAACACCTTTCCCATGGTGTCTAAGAGGCAGATTGTCTGGTGGTTTGCCAGCCTTGGGTAGCAATACCAGGTTCTGGGTCTTCCATTTTGTAGGGAACGTTTCTTATAGTAAGCATTCGTTGAATAATTCGGCGAACGTACTAGGGTGCTAGGCAAGGGCTAGCTTTAGCGCACGATTTGGGATCCCGTCCGGCCCTGGGGCTGTGTTGGTTCTAAGATCTCTGAGAGCTACTAAGATTTCTTCGTCTGTAACTAAAACAATTTGAGTGCTCGTTGAGCCCTGATTCGCACACTCGGACTCCGGGGCATGAATGGAGCTTAATCTTTCTGGAAAGAGCGTTTCCACAGTCGATTTAAGCTCTAGACGATCCGTCGGCTGCACCTATTTACTTGCGTATAGTCTTTTAACTACTGTCTTATATGCTCTGCCCCAAGGTTCATATTCGGCTGAGTCGCACAACTCTAGAAATCATTCTCTTTTGCTTGCCCGAATGGCCTTCTTCAACTGTCTTCTAGCTGCCTGGTAAGCTGTGTGTGTGTGTGTGTGTGTGTGTGTGCGTGTTTCTTGTGTAAGCTGAAAGACGCGAAAAATTATTGAAATAGCTAATGCTCCAAAGGTTCCGGGGATCTCGTAGTCGAGCAGTCTCGACTAGAGCTTTCTTATTTGTTTCATTTGCAGTTGTTGCCCCCTATGCATCTATTCATCTGGGGAGGATGAGTAGAAAGTATCAATCGGGCGCAGTCAGTTTATTCCACAGTATATTGAAGTATCGTCCCAACTGCGTCAGTGATTTTCTCTGAGCGGTCAGGCATCTCGCGATGTCACCGAGAGTGCAATGAAACCTTTCAATATGTCCATTTTATATACTGTGGAGTGGTGGTGCGTTTATAATTTGAACGTTATATTGAATCCTTAGCAATGATAGAAGATTCGTTGTCGCAGTATATTGTTTTTGTATGTCGGTAAAAATTCACAAGCTGTAGAATTCCCGACTGTGTGTCTGTTATTGTTTTTGAAGTAGTGGGTTTGAAAATTTATTAATGCAGGTAAGGATATATTTCTTATTTGCTGAGTATATATCACATCTCTATGAGGGAATAGGTGTTTCTCCGAATAACGAATAGTTGTATATGTCGGAATCTTGTTAGGAATGTTTCTATTAATTTATGCTGCACGAATGCTAATATTTGTAGTTCAAAGTAAATTGCATTTATAACATCCTTTTTGACTATCTCGCATATTCATTCAATTAACAAATCTTTATTCGAACAAATGTATAATATGTAAAATCTTTTCACTGAAAAAATGATTGTACGATCCGAAGCAACATTACCTTTTTTTATTATTTGATTTCATTACTGAAAGCTTTCCAGCGCCTAATTTTTGCGTTAGGATTGCGATCTGAAACGGCGAACGTCAATGACTGGTGGTCCGTAAATATGTTTAAGTTTTTTCCCCGTATAAATAGTTTCGGAGAATTTTCAGAGCCTAAATTATAGCGAGTAGCTCGCGTTCGTTTGTTGCGAAGTTGAGCTCACTATATTATGTTATAGGTTTCCCGTTCTGAAATTAAACAGCACACAAACCAAAGGACGAAGCATCAGTTGTCAAGTAGAAAGATTTTTTATAATCCGGGTAATGTAAAATTATATTCTCAGAAGCTAGAACTGTCTTAAGCTTTTCAAGTGCCTGATATTGCCTTTCGTCAAAGTTGAAGTCTATAGTAGTTTGCTAATCCAAGAAATGTCCTGACATTGAACATTGTGGTTAGTTGTTGGTAATTGCGGTTTGCTTCTACGTTCTTTGGGCATGTTCGTATTCCTTCACGTGAAAAATCAAAACCTAAATACAATTTATTCAGAACCCATGCAATGTGCGTAACATGGCTATCCATGTTTTTGAAAATGATAACGTCCTCAACATTAACATAACAAAACTTCCCGATTTGTTCTCTGAGCACATCGATTATCGCTCTCTGGAAAATACTGGGTGCATATTTTAATCCAAAGGGAAGTCTGCAAAATACGCGTTTCCCGTTACCTACCGAAAACATTTTAATTTTTAATGGTTTTGTTCAAATGTGTCACAGGATGACGGAGGCGAGGCAGACCATGGGGTATATATATTCCTGATCAGGGCGACGAGCTGAGTCGATTTAGCCCTGTCCGTATTTTTGAACGCGTCGATCTCAGATGTCCGTATATACAGCGGAGATATCTAGTTTATTTCGATAACTCTTTCCGTTATTTTAATAAATTTATATCTGCCATATCATTAGAGCTAAACTCGTCATATTTTAAGTGTATCTACAGATGTACTTTATAGAATTTCGTGTTTATACCCTGAACCCATTGAAAATGGGAAATCAGGGTTTTGTTAAAAGTATGTAACAGGCAGAAGGAGGCAGACCTCATAAAGTATATATACTCTTGATAAGGGCGACGAGCTGACTCGATTTAAATCTGTCCGTCCGTCCGTCTGTCCGTATGTTTGAACGCGTCGATCTCAGAAGATATAAGAGCTAGAGACATCAAATTTTTGTTCTTAGATCCGTGTGTACCATGGGCATATCGTGTTTTGCTTTAAAAATATTATCGAAAACCAGTAAAAAATTTATATTTGGTACATCTTTACCTAGAGTCGCCAAATTTTAAACATAGGTACATATGTACTTTATAGAATTTCGATTTTTGTTAAATTACCTCCCCCCCTATATTCACCCCTCACCCACATATTTGTAAAAGACTTATTTCAAATACTAGAGACTTGTGCTTTTACAAATACATGCATATCTATGTTATGTTCAAATTCTAAAAGTTTCATAAAGATAGTCCACCCACGAGAAAATTTATTAAACAATTAATTTCCCATAGCAAGCCACTACAGCCCATGCGTGCGTGAGTATTTCTGTGTCTGTGTGTACATGTGCGAATAAATATTAAAATATCAGTTGCTCGAAGGGTTCAGCGGATTTCGTAGTCTAGTAGTCTCGCCTAGAGCTTTCTTACTTGTTAATATGTATGTTTCCGAAATAAGTTAATAAAACCATGAAACAGGGTTGACAAAAACATAAATATATCAAATGTGTTAAATTTATCAAATTGGGAAAACCAAATAAGTCAGTTTCCATGATTAATTTGTAAAAGTTAATATATATTCTTTGCCTTTCATTTTAGAAGAGGGATTCTTGGTTGGAATAAACTTTTTGAATTTGTAAGTAGGGAGTGGCTAAAAGACATAAAAAGAAATCAACTACCAAACATATTGAGTGGAATCGGGCCTACAAATGCTGTTTTGCAATTATGTAAGTAGTATCAGTTTAAAATAATGTATATATTAATTATTTTTACACTATTATCGACTAGGAGATCTCCAGGACCCTGCGAAAAGCTAACTTTTTAAGATTCTTTTTTGCACACACATACTGCTATGCATATATGCACGCGCCTAGCTAAATGCGCAGTTAGCAGCGCTGGCGATTGTGATGCAGTGCAATCAAAACCATGTTTACAAATTACTAAATGCAAACTTAATCTTTAAATTTCTGACCATTTACTGACAATGCATTTTAAAGAGTTTGTATGCAAAACAAGTAAGGCGGTATCAGTAAAGACTGCTCGACTAGGAGATACCCTGAACCCGCTAAACTCATTCTGCACTTCTTTTATGCACAAATGCATCCACACGCACATATATCACGCGCTTGGCTGACTGCGTAGCTAGAAGCGACAGCTCTTGGGCTGCACTTCGGTGTGGGCAATATTATGAGATTTTATTAGTTGAATAATTTCTCTTGTAGTAAGCACTTTCAGTGCGTGATCATATGGCTAGAATGTGTGTACACTCCAAAGCACTAGTTTCTAGTACTTATTGGTATCCAAGATCTGTAATTTACAAAATCTTTGTATTCATCAAATGTATATAAACCAGGGACCGCAAATAAGAGCTATGAATATAAAAAAAAATGAGGCTCAAAAGAATCCCCAAGAAGGGAGAGGAAATTACACAAAAGTTATTATTTTACGGAAAATTTAATAAAAGGATAAACTTTTATTAGCAATTTTTTGTAAAAAAAATTATTTTTAATCATTATATTAATCGTTACGGTGCCTGATATAAACACTAAATCTGAAGTCTCTAGGTCTAAAAGTGATCAAACTAGGCTGGAAAAAGACAAAATCAATTTTTCGATTAGTCTCGATAAAAAAGTTATCGGATGAGTTATCGAAAAAATACGAAAACCTTCGTATGGTATACCCGAGTATGTAAGCTGAATTTCAAATCTCTAGCTCTAATAATTTCTGAGATATAGGCGTTAATACGGTCTGACGGACATGCGGACAGGGCTATATTGACTCAGCTCGTCATTCTGATCAAGAATATACATTATTTCCCATTTTGAATGGGTTCAGGTGCTTTTTTAGTATCTTCCCACTATATTGACTCAGCTCGTCAACCTGATCAAGAATATATATACTTTATTTTCCATTTTCAATGGGTTCAGGCGTTTTTTTTTAGTATCTTCCCACTTAAAACAATTTTGTATACCCTGAACCCATTTTCAATGGGAAATCAGGGTATAATGGTTTTGTTGATATGTATGTAACAGGCAGAAGGAGCCGTGGCCCCACAAAGTATATATATTCTTGATCAGGACGACGAGCTGAGTCGATTTGACCCTGTTCGTCTGTCTGTCCGTCCGTCTGTCCGACTGTCCATATGTATGATCGTGTCGATTTCAGAAGAGATAAGAGCAAGAGACTTCAAAATTTTTTTTTAAATGTCCGTATATACAGCGCGGATATCGAGATTATCACCAAAAATCGATAATCGTTATTTTTATCGATAAAAAACCTTATCAAAACTCCGTTATAAAATTATATCTCCTACATCATTAAAGCTAGTTTTCCAATTTTATATGGACACTTATATGCATTTTATACAATTTCGGATTTTGTTAAAATGTACCCCCAACCCCTAAATCAACCCCCTTTGAATTTCAACCAAAAATAGAACTGTTTCTTTACCCATAATCTATATCTATCTTATATATATATATATATATATATATAAAAGAGAGTTGTGTAAAAGTGTACCGAGACTTATAACTTGATATGTGCTGGACCAATTTTCATGGTTTTTGATTTGTTGGATTTGTCTCCGCCACGAGTAGGATAGTAGATCTTAAAAATACTGAAAAAAATTTTACGAATACTTGAAAAACGCGGTTTTTTCCCTAAAGATTCAAATTTCCATTGATACTCAGTAGGCTTGATAACAGTGACAGTTTTCGGTCCTGCTCTCATATTATACAATAGTATAGAAGTAAATAAACAAATGTAGTCAGTCAGTCTACGGCACAGCCTCAGGCGAACCTGACTATTCATAAAAAAAATCACATTTGATAAAAATATTACGCGTGCGTACAGAAGCTAAATATTTCGAAAGTTCAGGTATTTGTTTGTCTCAAACATAAATTTGTGTAAATTATTTATATTTATATTTCTCGATTGTTTTATGTGGTTTTGCGGTAGCAATTGCTTCTTCTGGAATAGCGGCCACATTGTTAGACGGACGCCGTACGGCTCACTCAGCGTTAAAATTGCCATTAAATCTTCAAGCTACTGAACAGCCGACATGTAACATTTCAAAGAACTCCGCAATGGCCAAAGTTTTAGTAGCATCAAAAATTATCATATGGGACGAATGCACAATGGCGCACAAACGCGCATTGGAAGCACTAGACCGAACATTAAAAGATCTGCGCAATGACTCGAGATGTTTTGGTGGTTCAATGATTTTATTATCTGGCGATTTCCGACAAACACTACCAGTAATTCCAGGATCTACTGCTGCCGACGAAATATCTGCTGATGATTTCTCGAAGCAATTGCTAAATATCGATAATGGCCGTATTCCTGTTGACAAATCGAGTGGCTTGATTTAATTTCCTCAAAATTTTTGCAATTTCGTCTCATCAAAAGATGAGCTTATCAACAAAGTATTTCCGAATATCATTGCTTTCCACAAATATACTAAATGGCTAAGTGATCGAGCAATTTTGGCGGCTAAAAATAAAGATGTGAATGACCTTAATTTTACAATTCAAAATAAAGTCGTTGGTACTCTGTATTCATTCAAATCTATCGACTGTGTAACAAACGAAGAAGAAGCCACTAATTATCCAACTGAATTTTTGAACTCCTTGGATGTGCCTGGTTTACCACCACACAATTTACAACTGAAGGTTGGCTCGGTAGTTATCTTATTCCTAGGATTTCTATGATCCCAACAGATATGCCCTTTGAGTTTAAAAGAATTCAGTTCGCGATTCGTCTTGCCTTCGCCATGACGATCAACAAAGACGATCAACAAGACGATCAACAAGACGATCAACAAGAGAGAGTTCTCAGTGAGAGTTAACAGACGTGTTTACTATTGTGCTCTTCAATTATTCTTGTTTTCTTAGTTAATTATTTTTATTAAATTTCACATAATTGCGGTTCGGTTGTATATAGCAAATATCTATATTATCCTGTGCAAGGTTTGATCCGTTGTTCACTGCGTTTTTAATAATTTGCTTTTTTAATTTGTGAAGCTTTGTGTGCAGTGTCGGTTCATTAGTTTCATTATTTGCATTTTTGCTTTAGTGTTTCTATTTGTTGGCGCTCTCCCCAGTTCACTCTTTCTAAGTTTGTGTGAGTGTGTGCATAAGTTGCTCTCTTGAATCTTTGATTTTTGTGGTGTGCAAGTATACTCTCTCGCTGAGGACTTTTGATCTGCTCCGTAACGGCTGTTTTTGTTGTTGACTCGCTCTCTCAACATATATTTTCGTTGCGCTCTGTAACGGCTGTTTGTTGTTGGACTCGCTCTCAACACATTTATACCTCTCTTTGTTGTGACATTTCTGTTTACATTCAGTAATTTTGTGATCTATCCCGATTGCCAATATGAGTTGCTGCAAAAAAGCTTGCACTTTCAGGCAAACAGTTGATTCTGCACAAGCGCAATTTATAAGTTGCTGGCTGTGTGATAACATGATGCATACTAAGTGTGCAGGTCTTACTGGGCGTGAATATGACAAGATTATGTCTACTACTAAAGCTGGTAGTGGAGGCATACGCTGGTCTTGTCCGATTTGTTTGGAAAAACAAATAAACTTTTCTAAAATGTATAGTGCTGTGAGGTCTCAGTTTTTAAAACTGAAGAAGATTTCTATGCAGTTGACCAGTGACATGGCTGCTGCTGAGGAAATCTTATATCAGTACGGCTTTGAAAGTCCTCTCTCTCAATTGGATACTCCTTTGTTGTCGGTAACTCCTTCTGTAATAGTACCGTCACCTAATTCGCTTGCTCCTCCCTCACCTTGCGCTTCTGTTTTGTCGTCGGCTCCCAATTCTCTAGATCCTCCTTCACCTTGTCCCATATCTGTTTCTCCTATTGAGGCTTCTATTGAAACTCAAGCCCCTGTCCCAAATTTGGATGCTACTTCTATTGTTGCTCAAACAATGAGTGTCAATAAGTCAGCCTCTCATAGCATTACCTTATCTGTTGTCTCTCCTAGAAAGCAAGTTTTCTTATCTAGGCTTTCATCTGACACTACCATTGAGGCAGTATCGGCTTTTATCTCAAATAAGATTCCGGTTAATGTTTTTATATCGAAGTTTAGTTTCGCGACACCGCGTGAAATTGCTTCGTTCAAAATCAATGTGCCTGTAGAACACTTTAAAACCCTTTGTGACCCTAATTTCTGGCCACCTCATGTAGTTGTTCATGAATTTAAACCCAAAAATCGTAACAGATCGATGCCTATTTCAGTAAATTTACCTTCGGTGCAATCTTCATCAAACGTTGTACCAAAAAACTAAATTACTTACAAACCTCTTCTCAGCTGTCCCTGATTTATCAAAATGTACGTGGCTTAAACTCAAAACTTAAAAGTCTTTTCTTGCATAGTTTCAGTGTACAATATGATATTATCGCTTTCACTGAAACATGGCTAAGTAGTAATATTCATAATAGTGAAATTCTTTCAAGTAATTTCACTATTTATAGACTCGACCGTTCGTCGCGCAGAGGTGGTGGGGTGTTAATTGCGGTTAAGTCCATTATCCACTCTGAATTGTTTACCTTTTCGTCCCTTTATGATGTGGAGATTATAGCGGTTAAATTAACTCTGCCATCGTGCTCATTATACATCACATGTTCTTATATCCCTCCCTCTTCTGATGTACAAGTTTATGCTCACCACATAAATTGTATTAAACAAGTTAATGAACATGTAAATGATAGAGATTGTCTTCT